GAAGGAAGGAAGGAAGGAAGGAAGGAAGGAAGGAAGGAAGGAAGGAAAGCTAAAAAAAAAATACAGATTTGAGGCCCTTCTTTACACAACGAGAAGGTGATGCACAGATCCTCAAGTCCCCCAAAATGTCAACATTGTAGGAAAAGTGCCTTGCAGGTTGCTGGGTTTCCATTCTATCCAGGTGCTTCTCATTCCTGGCGTTGTGTGAAAGTTGTTGTCTTACTTTCAGCGTGCAAGCAAAATCGAGAGGCGTTTCCCCATAGCCTATTTTCCCGGTCCAAGAAATTCCTACTGAAAAGCTTTCACCCTGAGCTTCTCGGGTGAAGCTTTTCCGGCCAAGAGAGCTGGAGCTGACAAAAGCTTGCGCCTTTCTATAAAGTTAGAGCCACCAAGTTCCTCCTGATGGTTCATGGCTACGCAATTATAAACCAATCTTATTAACAAGGCTGTTCTGGTGCCCATAAATACACAGCAGTTTTTGGAGGGGGAAGGGTCGGTGTGTCTTAATTGTGCAGCTGTGGGGTTGATTTTGAAATAGAAGGTGAGTGGGACGGGAATCTGGTGAATGTGGCTCCTTATCAGGGATGTTCAACCGTGCAACGTTAAGATGTGTGGAACTTCAATTCCCAGAATTCCCCAGCCAGCCATGTTGACAAAGTGGGACACACCTGTCCTATCTGTCCTCACAGATACTAACAGAATAGCTGAGTTCAAAAGGACCTTGGAGGTCTTCTAGTCCAACCCACTGCTAAGGCAGGAGACCCTATCCCATTCCAATTTCTTCTTCATAACGTCCAGCGATGGAACGCCTGCAATTTCTGATGGCGAGCTGTTCCGCTGTTTAATTGTTCTCCTTATCAGGAAATTCCTCCTTAGTTCTAGGTTGTTTTTTTTCTCTTTGCTTAGAATCAGAATAGAGGTGGAAGGGACCTTGGAGGTCTTCTAGTCCAGCCTCCTGCTCAAGCAGGAGAACCTATAACATTTCAGATAAGTGGCTGTCCAATCTCTTCTTAAAAACCTCCAGTGATGGAGCAGCCACAACTTCTGGTGGCAGGCAGTTCCACTGGTTAATTGTCCTCCCTGTTAGGAAATTCCTCCTTAATTCCAGGTTGCTTCTCTCCTTGATTGGTTTTGATCCATTGTTTCATGTCTTGCCTTCTGGTGCTTTTGAAAATAATTCGCCCGCCTCTTCCTTGTGGCAGCCCCTCAAATACTGGAATAATGCTGTCATCTCTTCCCTAGTCCTCTACTGGCCAAACCCAAATCCTCCTAAAGACCTAAACCAAACTGAGGATTAGTTTCCATCCGTTGCTTCTTGTCCTGCCTTCAGGTGCTTTGGAGACTCTTTTCTTTGGGGCAGCCCCTCAAATACTGGAAGGCTGCTATCATGTCACCCCCTTGCCTTTCTTTTCATTAAACTGGAATTAAACTGAATTCCAGCCACCGTTCTTCACATATTTTAGCCTCCATCGTCTTTGTTGTTTTTCTCTGCACTCTTTCTAGAGTCTCTCGTTCCTCCTCCTCCTTATACTCACTTCTAGGTTCAGGAGGTAGAGGAAAAAAAATATAACTCTCACACCAAGCTTTTCCAGGATCCAGATCCTTGCACTTTGATGTGCTTTTAAACTCAAAAGATTGGGCACGCGCATGGATGCCGCCATGTTGCAGAGCGAAGGCTTAAGAGGAACCCCTGGACTCAGGCCGGGCAGGCTATGTGTGTCGACATTTGCATCCAGGACCAGCACAGGAGGAGTGGGGGGAACCGGTGCCTCCCTCACCAAGTGCTGGGAGGTGGGCTCACCGGAGGAGTGCGAAGGAGCCTCCCTAGACAGCCAAGCTCCCCAGCGACCTATTAACGCCCCCCCTGCTTTGTTGCTTTGTTTACGGCTGTTCGCTCTTGGTGTTTTGCAAATTAGCAGGGCTTCCTGGTTGCCAAGTTGGAGGGCTAATTGAGCTTCAGGAACCTTGCTAATGACCCCGGGGGCTAAGGGAACAGGTGGGGCGGCTCGGGAGTCGCAGGAGCGACTCGGGAGAGCAAAATATTGTGCCTTCCACGCACGCTTTTGGTTTTGTTGTTTATGGAACGACGGATGGAATTGCCGGTCCCCCGAGGGGAATTGGGGTGAATTTAGAGCTCTCGGCTGTTTATCAGATCAGCGATTAATTATATTTAATATGAGGGATGGTACTTGCTCTAATGATTGAGAAAACAGTAATTGGGTAGGGATTAGGGAATCTCGAAAAGTGTGGTGTACAAAGGTAAGGAAGCTTAATGCTGAGACAAAATCCGGTCAGTTTCTCCGTCTTTCTCTTTGGGGGAAGATAAATCCAGAAATCCAAGTTCAACCGGCTGCATTAGTGATTTTTCATTTCTGGATTCGCTATGTTTGGTATAAGGTTTCTTGCTTGAGCAGGGGGGGGCTGGACTAGAAGACCTCCAAAGTCCCTCCCAACTTTGTTGCTTTATTAGTCCATTACGTATTTTCTTGCAAAACAGTGCGTCTTGGCCACGAAGAGGAACCCAAGTCCTGTTTCCAGTGTCCAAACTTGAGCGTTAAGTCTCTTGTTGGCATCTCTTTAAAGCATCCGCTTCTTTTCCCCGGATGGAACATCTGCTGTCTATGAAAAGATGCGGTTGCTTTAAAGAGTTGCAGAGGGGCTGCTTCCAAGCCCCGTTTGCAGCGAAGCACTTTTTTTTTTTTTTTAGAACACTACCCACACCACTGCACAGCCTTTGCGGCCAAATTTTTATGAGGAAAACCGGATGCTCTGCTTTACGACCAGTTTCTCATGCAGGAAATCTAGTGGGAGGTGGGGGGCGTGCCTTTCTTGACTGTCCCCCGCCCCCCGCCCCCCCAATGGATGAGAAACCCAACGGTTTGCAAGTTTCGTTCTCTGTCCTTGAGGGGCAAACCAAGTTTCAGAGCAAGTTTTTTTGTGGCGAGAAGAACCAAGTTGCAACTGACCCGGCCCCATTGGCACCCTCTTAGGGTGCTGATTTCTCTGTTGACTCCGTGCGGGAGGGAACGCGAGGAAAAGACGACGCACGGAGACATCTGGTATTTCAGATTTCTGAAACATAAATACGAACATAGTAGTAGTGATAGCAATAGCACTTTGACTTATATACCGCTTCACGGTGCTTTGCAGCCCCCTCTAACCAGTTTACAGAGTCAGCATATCACCCCCCCCAACAATCTGGGTCCTCATTTTACCCACCTCAGAAAGAATGGAAGGCTGAGTCGAGCCTGGGAGCCTGGTGAGATTCGAACTGCCAAATTGCAGTCAGCCAGCAGTCAGCAGAAGTAGCCTGCAGTAATGCATCCTAACCCCCTCACCACCTCGGCTCTTAGTGGTACCTTTGCAGTGCCTTTCAATCCTATCTGGCAAGCCTAAATAATGGAGGGACTAGAGGAAGAATCGGGATTGCTTTGGGGAGAGAGGGAGGGAGGGAGGGAGGGAGGAAGCAGGGAGGGAGGGAGAAACAGAGAGACAGAGGAGGGAGATTGGATGGATGGAAGGGAGGGAGGATAAGATGGGAGGGAGGGAGGGAGGGAGGAAGGAGGAAGTTAAGAAGGAAGAAAGAAAGGAGAGAGAAGGAAGGAGGGAGGGAGAAAGAGAGGGATGGTGGGAGGAAGAAGAGGGAGGGATGAAAGAAAAGGGGAAAAGGGAAGGAAAGAAGGAAGGAAGGAAGGAAGGAAGGAAGGAAGGAAGGAAGGAAGGAAGGAAGGAAGGAAGGCTATTTTAAAAAACTTAAGACATATCCAAGTAGAAGTGGAAGCAAGACTATTGGTTCTGATTAATTAAATCACACTTCAGGACTGCCAGCTGATTCTAATTTTCTCTACACCAAACATTTAACAAAGCTCCTCTCTACAACAATCAGCTCCTTGCTTAGCCTTTTTGCATTCCGACAACACCCGAAGCAGATCGGGCTTTTGCTGGGTGGCCTACAACCCAGATGCTGTAACAGTCCTAAGCGTGGGGAAAAAAAACGGTCATAAGTCCCTTTTTTCCCGTGCCCTTGTTAACTTCGAATGGCCACTACACGAACCGTTGTAAGTCGGGGATTGTCCATAGATGTTGATCTAATCAAATGCCTAATGCCGCCTTCTTCGCCGTGTCTTTCATTCAGAGAGTTGATGGCGGGTTTTTCTTTTGATGTTCAGGGAAGGTCATTGACATCCTGAGTTTCTCCTTTGCCCTGACCGTCCCTCTCTTTCTCCCACCCAACAGCCGCTGCTGTGACAAGAAAAGTTGTGGAAACCGCAATGAGACCCCTTCCGATCCGGTCATCATTGACAGGTAAGTACCAGCAGGACTGTTCTGAATGTCCACATCGCCATTCTTCCCAGAACCCATGAGCGGAACTAAATACAGATTTGGTTGAAGTCTTAAGTCGTGGAAAGTGAAGAGGGAGGCAAGGCCAGCCCTTGCAGAATAACACTTATTCTTTGCAAGTTCTTACTTTAGTTTGGTCTGGTGGCTAAGGTTAGAAAACAGGAGTCTGTGAATTCTAGTCCACCTTAGCCAAGAAAGCTGGCTGGTGTTAGGCATCCAGAAAGTATCCATGATACCGTGTCAGCTGGGAGACTTTGGGGCCAATCACCAGGAGACGTGGAATTCTAGTTCCACCTTAAGCATAAACCAGCTAGGGGACTTTGGGCCAATCACCAGGAGATGGTGAGTTCTGGTCCACCTTAATCAAGAAAGCTGGCTGGGAGACTTTGGGCCAATTACCAGGAGACAGGGAGTTCTACTCCCACCTTAAGAATAAACCAGCTAGGGAACTTTGGGCCGATCATCAAGTGACTATGAATACTAGTCCTACCTAACCAGCTGGGTGACTTTGGGCCAAAAAACAGGAGCCAGGGAATTCTAGTCCTGCCTTGGGCCTGAGAGCTAGCTGTTCGCCTGGAGCTGTTCCCTATCTCACAGCCCAACCTGCAGCAAAGGGTTGTTTCTCTGGCGGGGAAAAGGAAAAAGAACGTGTGTTGTATATGTTCATCATTTTTCAGGCATTGCTAAAAATTACAAAAGCGGGATACAATAAACAAACAAAACAAACAAATAAATAACGGTCAAAGCTCAATTGGCACTAAATAAGGAACAACCAAATTCATGGACATAGGTCTTCGTGACAACGAAATGATTCTAAATAGACGACAGGTTTAACCCCACCTTACAGCTCAGTCTCTTCTCAGAATAACAGAATAATAGAGTTGGAAGGGATTTTGGAGGTCTTCTAGTCCAACCCCCATCTTAAGCAGGAGACCCTATACCATTTCAGACAAATGATTGTCCAATCTCTTCTTAAAAACTTTAAAAAAATCTCCAGTGATGGAGCACGCACAATTTTGGGCAGACAGGCCCTCCTACTACTCAATTGTTCGCACTGTCGGGAAATTTCTCCTTAGTTCTAAGTTGCTTCTCTTCTTGATTAGGTTCCATCCTTTGCTTCTTGTCCTGCCTTCAGGTGACCCTCCCTCTTCTTTGTGGGAGCCCCTTAAATATTGGAAGCCATCATGTCACCCCTAGTCCCTCCCGTTGTTAAACTAGACGTACCCAATTCCTTCAACGGTTCTTCGTATTTCTTAGCCTCCAGTCCCCTTATCATCTTCGTTGCTCTTCTCTGCACTCTTTCTAGAGTCTCAACATCTTTTGTAACATGGTGGTGACCAACATTGGATGCCGTATTCCAAGTGTGGCCTCACCAAAGCCTTACAAAGGGGTATTTATTATTAAAGGGGTATGATCTTGAGTCCACCCCTCTGTTAATGCAACCTAGGATTGCATTGGCTTTTTTGGGGCAGCTGCGATGCACACTGTGAGTTGGGGTGCCTCCCAGCGCCACAATTCTACCTGTTGCATACCGGGAGACCAAGGAAATCTCTTTGGTCTGCAAGGCTGATGTATCTAAGACACAGCAGAAGATGGTGGAGGGAGAATTTGGGGGTGGATAGGGGCAGAAAAGGCAGGTCAGCCCAACCCAGATCTGGGGGACTATGGAAAGAAAAAAGGGGTGTTACACAATCCTCAGAAAGTTTAGTTAATTTCTGGTTGGCCTGGCGATCTTCTTGTCCCTCCGACAAGTCTTCTGCTCTCTTCTACTCAGAAATCAGGATGCTTCTCCTATTGTCACCTTCTGCACTTGTGGGTCGGTGTGTGGACGCACTCATGCAAGTCACTGTCTCCCTCTCCCAGATAAAACACCAAGGGAATGACAAGGGCCCTCCTCTCCCGGCGTATCCCAGTGGCAGTTGGGGGGTCTTGATAAAACACTGACATTTCCCCAGCCTTTGTCCGCTCCCGATAACATCGGCCGCTGGGCGAGGAGGCCCCATAGCTGGGCAGACCCGCCTGTCACTCAGTCCCACTGCTGAGGCCTCCAGCCGCCGAAGGAGAAGAATAAGGATTGACAAGCCGGCGGGGAGATTAGAAGCAGAAGAATCAACGCTATTAGAGGCTGTCTTGCCTTTGTCCCTGCTGATCTTTCAGCCTTTCCTTACCGTCGGCTGCCTCTCCGTTTGCTTGTTTTTCCTCGCGCGCAGGACAAAAATAAAATAAAATAAAATAAAATAAAACCCAGCCACCTTCAGATTAAATTCCAGCAAGTTTGTTGGTTCTAGCTTTGCCAATCTTGGAGCTGGACCGGAACAGTGCAAGGGTTTGCGGCACAAGGCTATATTCTACACGCTGCGTTGCAAATCTCGGGGCGCAATCCAGATTCCACCCCGCCTCAAAACTGAGGATATCCGGCACGAAGGCGTCAAAGATGCAACAGGAGGAAGAAAGGGGGAGGGATGGAGCTTTTGCCCTCCCTTCCACTATGCACGCTTACGTGTGTGTGCCACACCTGCACATGACCTGCCCCTCCAGCATGCGGCCTTCCTCTGAGAATTCAAAACCTCCAATGGTTAAGAATACCCGCAGACCGCAATTCAACCCGACATTTCTGGTGCTGAGCGAGACTGCGGTTCAGTAAACTTTCCCCCATTGTACAACCTTCCTTGCCACAGTTGTTAAGTGAATCGCCGCCGTTGTTAGGTTAGGAACATGGTGGTTAAGCGAATCTGGCTTCACCATTGACTTTGCTTGTCAGGGGGTCTTGCAACCATCGTAAATGTGAGACAGTTTGCCAAGCGGATGAATTTTGATCGCAGAACCCAGGCATGTTACAACAGTCCGAAGTGTGGAAAAACAGTCATAACAGTCTTTTTCAGCACCACTGTAACTTCAAACAGTCACTAAAATGAACTGTTATAAGACAAGGACTACCTCTACTGGCCCAGCCAAGTGGAGGAGTCCAGCAGGGTGTCAGGATTCTGGCTGTTCCTCCCATTTAAATCCTGAGTCTCGAGCCAAACTTCCAAAACTTCCAAAAGATTTATTGGGAGTTAACATGTCCGGCACTGCCTGGGTGCAGCTGACTCTGAGACACGTCATTCATTGTCACCCTTGACCCTGGTTTCCCCCCCCACACCCCTCTGGGCGTATCGTAATTCGTATTCTCCAATGGGACACCTCCATAGCCGAGGTGGTATATTCAGCAGGTTCTGACCAGTCCTGGAGAACCGGTAGCGGAAATATTGAGTAGTTTGGAATACCACCTCTGACTGGTTAGTGGGGTGGGAAGGGTATGGGGATTTTGCAGTATCCTTCCCCTCCCATGCCCACCAAGCCACGCCCACCAAGCCACGCCACGCCCACCAAGCCACACCCACAAAACAGGTAGTAATATTTTTTTTTTTGAATCCCATCACTGATCCATAGTCCAGAGTCCTCAATCATGCTCTCCGGTTAGATTTTTTGCGCTGCAGAAACTTCAGTCGCCTAGTGACTATCTTTGAAAACAGATAGTCACTTATGGAGTGCAGTTTCGGTTTGCAAACTGCTGCACTGCTCCCCCCTCCCTTTCTGTTGGCAACTCTAAAAAAAAATAAATATAGACATATTTTATGAGTTGACATTGGGAATGAGTGTGAAATCTCTACGTGGACACAAACGTTAAAGCTGATTCCTTTGGATTCCATTGAACCTTATTTAGTCTGGCATGAAATTGTCAGTTTGGGAAGATTCCTGTAAAATAGGCACGAGCAATGAAGTGTCTAGTTTAAAATCTTCATGTGTGGGTCTGATTGTTCGCGCCTGATGCTCTCCTTCTGCAAAGGCCCAGCAAGACATCCAGGGCCACTCAGGCTCCCGTGCCCCCTATCCTTCCCCCTCCCCCACCCCCAGCCTTTTTGCCACCCCAATTGGCTACGTCTTTCACCGTCCTTGCAAAGATGGCTGGCCTCTGGCTAAGAGGAATAAGAAGATAATTGCCAGAGCTCTTAGGGGTGTTTCCAAATCAGCATGCCGGCCATTTTTCCACTATAGAAAAATCCTCGACTCACAGCAGTTCATTTGGTGACCGTTCCAAGTTACAACTGCACTGAAAAAAAAGGCACATGGTTGTTTTTCACGCTTTATGACCATTGCGGCATTCCCCATGGTCACATGATCAAAATTCAGACACTTGGCAACCGGTTAGAGTTTATGACGGTCGCAGTGCGTCCCGGGGGTGTGTGTCACATGATCCCCTGTGGCAACCTTCCGTGGGGAAGCTGGATTTGCTTAACAAACCATCTTCCCAACTTTAACAACTGCAGCAATTCACTTAACGACTGGGGCAAGCAAGGTCGTAAAATGGGACAAAATGCGCTCAGCAATGGAAATGCTGGGCTCGGTTACCGTCGTAAGTCGAGGACTAGTTGCATTTGACCAGGTCTAAACCTAAATTTGAGTAGCCTCTGCTCCCTTTCGGGAGGGGGCGGGTACTGGTGGCAGGAGGAGGTTCGAAACTTGCCTTAATTTTCTCTTTCTGCCTTCCAAGTCCGTTCTAACTCTCTAGCCACGCAACCCTTCCTTCCCAGCGGACACAGTTGGGGGGTGTGGGGGTGTCTGTGTCTGTGTGTCTGTGTGTGCGCCCTCCCAACTCTCCCTCCCCCTCCCCCTCCCCCCCCTCCCCCTCCCCTTCTCTCTTTCTCTGCCTCCTTCTCGTTCCTCTCTCCTCCAACGGCGGCCAGCCCCTCTGGTTTAGAGAGCATGGTAAGTGCCCTATCAACATGTTAATCAAATTACTTAGGAGCTAAAATTGACGCTTTTCATTAATTATACAAGATTATTCTAATTGCGAATTCAAATTTATGCGCTCGGAACAGAAGGTGTTCGGCAGCGTCGCTGGGAATTTGCATGTTAAATGGGGAACACGCCACATTAGGCATGCTAATGTATGCACATTGTCTTTATTTTTAACTCCCTGGGTTTCTATGCACCACTGCTACTTAAGAAGGTGAGCGAGTCGGACATGTGTTTTTATTCTTATTTCCTTCTCTTTTATTCGGAGGTAGAGGTATCCGAGGGGAGGGCGGCATGTTGCGTTGGTGTGTATGTGTAAAATTACCAATTCACTGTCAATCTTGGGGGGGGGGGTGATGTTTGCTTCCCTCTTTGCTTCCCACCCCCCCACCCTTCAAAATTTATGAATTTTCCTTCTTCCGTCCTCTGTTCCTTTCCTCTCTTGATTACCACCTGCGAAGACCTCAGGAACCCTACCCAACCGCTAGTCTCCACCAAAATTTCCATGGAAATAGTTTACTTCTATACTGAACTTCGAGGTCTTTTAATCCAGGGGTCGCCGAGCTTGGTGTCACCTGCAAATTTTATGAGTTTCCTCCTCTATCCCCTCATCCACATCATAGATGAAGATATTGAAGAGTCCCGGGCCTATGACAGAGCCTTGGGGTACCACCGTTCATCCATCGCTAAACGTAGGGAGTTTCCCGCTCTGTAGGAACGGGTCTCAAAAAAGGGGAGAGACCGTCCTTTCTAGAAGTGGCTTCTAGACCGGAGGGAAGAGATGGGCATTGAACCCAGGGCCTCTTCGAGAAGAGAAAGGTCCAGGCCAGCGTTCCTTCATCTTGGCAGCTTTAAGATGGGTGGACTTCGGCTCCCCAAATTCCCCAGGAATTCCGGGAGTTGAAATCCACCCTTGCTGGCTAGGGAATTCTCGCGGTTTAAGTTACCACCACTGAAAGTTTTATACACATTTCATCTGTTTGATTGATAGGAGAGAATATTTGTAGCTCAGGGTTGAACTGTGAGGGACTTAGTGCTCTCTGAGCTTGGTGGTTTTCTTGTAGACGTTTCATGACCCAACTGGGGACTATCATCAGTGCTAGAAGGAAGAGAGGTTATAGGGAGGAGGGGGAGGAAGAGAACTGTGAGGTCCACGGTGTCCTCTGAACTTGGTGGTTTTCTTGTAGACGTTTCATGACCCAACTAGGGAACATCATCAGTGCTAGAAGGAAGAGAGGTTATAGGGAGGAGGAGGAGGAGGAGGAGGAGGAGAACTGTGAGGTCCATGATACTCCCTGAGCTTGGTGGTTGTCTTGCAGATGTTTCATGACCCAACTAGGGAACATCATCAGTGCTAGAAGGAAGGTGGTGGTGCAACCTCAGAGGACACCACAGTCCTCCTTCTCTTCCTCTGTTCAATCTCCCTCCCGCATAGCACTGACGATATTACCTAGCTGGGTTAATGAAACGGCTGCAGGAAAACCACCGAGCTCAGGCCCGAGAGCTACCTATATCCTCTTCTATCCGCCGATTGTGGGCGTTTCGCTTGTTCTGGGACTTTTTGTGGAGCCCGAGCCATCTTCCCACTTCTCTCTCTTTCTGCCTCTCTCCTCCTGCAGCCAGCCCGGGGCTGCTACCTGTTAATTATTGATGCTAGAATGACAATTATAGGTCCCTGCACAAGCAGGCTAAATATTTCATCAGCTTCGCATGCTGTAGGGGAAGCAGAGCATCCTTACATCCCTTTTCTGGGCAGCTCGGTCTCCCCCTCTGACTTTCTGGATCCAAGACCGACATTTCCCCGTTCTCCTTGGAGCCCGAGGCAGAAAGAACTTCGACCTCACCGGTTATTGGCCCCAACAAGCCGAAAGCCATTCCTTCCCCCCGCAAGAGATTCCTAGAATCCCAGCTCTTTTCCTCTTGGATCGGTCTGCTCTTCGAAGCAGAATAACGAAATAACAGAATATCAGAGTTGGAAGGGACTTTGGAGGTCTTCTAGTCCAACCCCCCTGCTTCAGCAAGAGACTTATCCAACTTTAAGACCTCGTGGGCTTCAACTCCCAGAATTCCCCAGCCGGCGTAGCCTTGAAGTCCACAAGTCTAAAAGTTCTCCAGCTTGGACACCCTTACCCTAAACAATGGCTGTCCAGTCTCTTCTTGAAGACTTCCATGGATGGAGCAACCACAACTTTCTGAAGGCAAATCATTCTTAACGGTTCATTATTCTCCCTGTTAGGAAATTCCTCCTTAGTCCCAGGTCCACTTGTCTCTTTAGTTAGTTCGAATCCATTGTTTCTTCTCCTGCCTTGAGGTATTTTGGAGAATAGGTTGACCACCACCACCACCACCATTTCTTTGGGGCAGCCCCTCAAATAGGGAAACTCTGGTATCATGTCACCCCAAGTCCTCCTCATCTTAGACTAGACATGCCCAATTCCCGCGACCGTTCTTCATATGTTCCAGCCTCCAGAGCCCCTAATCCTCTTGTGTTGCTCTTCTCTGCACTCTTTCTAGAGTCTCAACATCTGTTTTGGAATATGGCGACCAAAACTGAAGGCCATATTCCAAGTGTGGCCTCACCAAAGCATTATAAAGTGATATTAACCCTTTGTGTGATCTTCATTCAAGTCCGCTGCTTGATTCAAGCGTGACAAGGATCTATCTTTGAGACTTTCCGGCAGAGGGCTTTCATTCCGTGCTCCCTATTTCGATCAGGTAGAGCCGGAAGGTACCTTGGAGGTCTTCTAGTCCAACCCCCTGCTGGAGCAGGAGACCAGCAGGATCTCCTTCCAGACAAAGGGGTTGTCCAGTCTCTTCTTAAAAACCTCCGGCGATGGAGCTCCCACAACTTCTGGTGGCAAGCTGTTCCACCGGGTTAATCGTCTTCACCGTCAGGAAATTCCTCCTTCGTTCTGGGTTCTTTCTCTCCTCGGCGAGTTTCCATCCGTTGCTTTTTGTCCTGCCTTCTGGTGTTTTGGGCCTCTCCGCTTCCCTCCCTGCGGGCTCAGATTATCTCCCGAGTTCCTCTTCCTGATTGATCATTCTCTGCAGGAATGGGGCCCATTAGCTGCCTGCAAGGCAGCCGGGGATCAGTTTCCAATCAATACCCTTTTAGACAAACAAAGATGTATTTCTGAGCCGCCTTAAAGGGACCACACCAGGTTGGAGAAGAAGAGAAGCGAAAAACCTGCCATGGCATGGATTTTAAATTCGGGCCAGAGCAGAGATTCAGCCGGTTCGGACCCGTTCTGGAGAAGCGGTAGCGGAAATGTTGAGTAGTTCGGAGAACCGGCCAATCCCGCCTCCGACTGGCCCCGCCAACCCCCATCTCTTCTCTGCCTCCCTTCGAGTCCCAGCTGATCGGTTGGGTCTCCTTTGGTGGCCCTGCACAGGAGAAGGGAACTGGAAAGCAGGTTAGTGGGGTGGGGAGGGAAGGGGGATTTTGCAGCCACGCCCACCAAGCCACAGCATGCCCACCAGCCACGCCCACAGAACCGGTAGTAAAAAAAAAATTGAATCCCACCACTGGGGTAGAAAGATAGTCAGTGGCTATCAGCAAAAGTCCATTGGGTTTGTAAAAGTTTCTAGCTCTCATGAGCCGAATTTGGGGATTAACCCTCCTCCATTTTCTTCCCACCTTAATTCTTGCCACTCAAAGCCCTGCAGTCCTCAATCAGAAGAGAGCTGGAAGGGTCCTCGGAGGTCTTCTAGTCCAACCCCCGCAACCCAAGCAGGAGACCCTCTACCATTCCAGGCATTCCTCGGGTTGCAACTGCTCATTTAGTGACCGTTCAAAGTTAGAACAACACTGAACAAAGTGACCTTCAGGATTCTTTTTTTTACACTTACAACCGTTGCATTGTCCCCCAGGATCATGGGATCAAAGCTCAGGCGCTTGCTGACTTGACTCGTATTTATAACAGCCACAGTGTCTCCTGGGTCACTTGATCCCCCTTATGCGACCTTCCTGACCTGCATGGTCAATGGGGAAGGCCGATTCACTTAACGACCGTGTGACTAACTGAGCAACTGTAACGATTCGTTTAACAACACAGGTTGCAAAATGGGGCAACCGTCTCTTAAGAAATGTCTCCCTCAGCAACATAAATATTGGGCTCAATGGTAGTTGTAACTTGAGGACTACCTGTAACTAACCTAACGGTGGAGATTTTAAAGGTATCTGTGTGGCTTACATTAGGAAAGAAACAGGGCGACGGCTTAATAGATATATTAATTTAATGAGTAATAAGTAGTTTTCTAAGGAAGTTGTTCCTAGAATTCACTGGTAGCTTTTAGTGCAAATGAGCCCTAACTATACGGCTTTGAAATTAGGGGGATTTAACGTCGGTTGTCATTCAAACTGCTTTCTGTAGTTATTGTGCATCGTCACCAAATGGAACCAAACCAAGTTCGTTACACGCTTGGAAGGAAGCGCCGTATTTTAATCCTAAACGAGGGACAATCCTTCGATATACTATGTAGGGCAAGCTTAATTCGGATGAAATGAGCTATCTAGTCTCTCTATAAGCCATTCCTGGTACGATTTGCTGTCTTGCCATTTTTATCTTCGGCTTCCTCTTTGGCAACGGGTTTGGGAGATTCACTTAGGGTGCAGCCATGGATTTGCGTGGCTGTTGGTTTAGCCAGAGCTTATGTGGACAGTCTCCCTGTGGAGGACGGGAAATAGGAAACCCCAACAATCTGCTCAGTCTAGTTGGGAAATTGCAAATAGGCAAGGTTGATAAATCACAGGGAAGAAAAGGAGGAAGGGAGGGAGGGAGCGAGGACAGAAGAAAAGATGTGGGGAAAGAAGGAGGGATGGAAGGAAAGGAGAGAGGGAGGGAGAGGGGAGACGGAGGTGAGGAAAGTAGGGATGGAGGAAGGAAGGAAGGGAGGAAGGAAGGAAGGAAGGAAGGAAGGAAGGAAAGAAGGAGGGATGGAAGGCAGGAAGGAAGGAAGGATGGCAGGATGGCAGGAAGGAAGGAATTACTGGGGAAGCCAAGGATCAAACTCTTATAAAGATTCCTCAAAGCAATTAATGTTGCTTTTTTCTATTTTCTTCTATTTCTAGATTTTTTCTCAAGTTCTTCCTCAAATGCAACCAGAACTGCTTGAAGAATGCTGGCAATCCGCGAGATATGCGCCGGTTCCAGGTGATATACCTCTTTCTTCTTCTCTGGAGAC